AAAAAATAAATAAATAAAATCTTTAAAAAAAAATAAAAAAAATAAAAAAAAAAATAAAAACCTGTAAATATAGCAGCGGCCAAGAGGTGAATTGTGTTAAAGATGAAAAGAATCCTTCACCCCCTTGAACTGCTAATTGTCTTATACACATTTACCTGGTAAATAGTCTAAAAGTTAACAGTCCAAGCTTTCAAGTAATACTGACTCCTTTCCCTCACCTCTGACAATAGTCAGCTGATCACCAAATGCTACTGGATTCTTTCTCCAAAACATCTACTAAATGCAATACCATCTCCTCTCCATCTACACTGCAAAGACTTCAGGTCCTTACCTTTCTTCATCTACAATGTCCATCTAATGGATCTTCCTGGCTCTAGTCTCTCTCCTTCACTCAATCTACAGCCTCTAGATGACTATTCTAAACCCAAGTCTTAGTATGTGTCATCATTACTCTCCTATGTTTCATAGAGCCTCCTGTAGGCTCTTTGTTTTCTCAAGGGATGAAACTCAAACTCTTTGACATGACATTCATTCACATATCTAAGTACTGGAAAAATAGAATGATAAGCAAAAACAGTCAAGAGCCTTGTCCTCATGGAGCTTAACACTATCTGAATAACGGCGATAACTACTCATGTAAATAAAGGTAAAATGGCAATTGTGATAAGTGCAATGAAGGGCAAATACATACACAGTATTATATAAGAGTTTATAATTGTGTGTGTGTGTGTGTGCATGAGAGAGAGAGAGAGAGAGAGAGAGATGTGGCCAGGAAGATGAGTAAAGGCTTCCCTGAGTAAGCACCATTCAGGTTGAGATTTGAAGGATATGTAGGAAGTAAACTGAAAAGGAAGGGAAAGGTTAAGTGTTCAGGGTGGAGAGAACTGCATGTGTAAAGGTCAGAAAGGATAGGAACACAGCTAGTATAAACGACTTAAAGGCAACCCATGGAAGGAAAAAGCAGAGAAGGAAGAGGGGTGAGAAATGAGACTCAAGACCTGAGAAGCTAGATCGTATAGCCTGTAGACTTATAAGACCATATTAAAGATTTGTATGTGTGTGCAGTTTACTAAGCAGAAGAATTATACGACCATATCTGCATATTGTGAAGATCACCCAGGCTATTAAAGGAGAACAGCTTTGAGAAAACCAGGATGGAAGTAAAGATATCTGTTAGGAGATTATTGCAGTGGTCCAAGTAGGAGATGACTACAGTTTAAACAAACTGGTCCCCAAGCTGTTTTGATCATGCACTCCCCATCACTAAGAAACTTTTGAATTTGTATCTCCAAAATATGTATATTGTACACACTATTATTTCACTAATATATATAAGATCCAAATATTGAAATTTTAAAGGGCTAAGGTAAAATTAAATAAATAATATTTTAAAGTAATTTTTAAATTATATTTATTAATGGCAACAACACTTTCCTTACACACAAAAAATTACATAGTGCTTCAAAGGTTTGACACTAAAACTGGCTTATTTTGATGTTTGGTTTCATTAGTTAACACAAAGATACAGCTATACAAAGAGAAGATGTGTTATACTTACTAAATCATGATACCAAATTTTCAATCCTATACCTTAGTTATGTAAAGGTTTCTACTGAAATTGAGCTAGTAGATTTCCAGTGTTCACTGATGTAAGTCATTTTTTCAGAAAAATAAGTTAAAAGGTTGCATTTTAATATTTTTAGCAAATAGGTTCAAAACCCACTGAATTTAGAAAATTCTGTTTCCCAATCTTCAAAGTTTGCACATATGACAGTCATCATAATTTTTGTACAACAATAAAAAATACATGATGATGACATTATTTTTAAAATGTTTTCCTAGCATGAGGCAGTTAGTTACTTTTTCATTCATTGTTAAAACATCATCTTTACCCTAAGAGGACAGGGGGTTTAATTTATTATGTTTTTAAAAATATGCTATGAAAAGATCTAGCATATTTGGGACTTGTGTATGCGAGAGAGAGGGGAGAGGAGAAGAGAGGGCAGCGAAGGGAGAGAGGAAGGGAGAGGGGATGGAGGGGGGAGGGAGGGAGGGAGGGAGGGAGAAGTCCAACTCATTTTTAGGAGAGATAACTGTTATGTCATGAAACAAATAACCAGTGAACTTCTACGTTAGTATAAATGATATCAGGGAGTGCCACATAGGTTTTCCATGAAGGAATAAGGAAGGACGAAGGAAGAGAAATTATTTATACTTTAAGATTTATAGTTTCTCTGCTATATCTCCTTGAGTAGTGCACAAAAAAGTAGCTCTTCAAGAATTTTATAACTGAAAAAGAAGATAACAAATATCA